GGTCTTCCATTGAATGAGAGAGTGGAGAAAAGATGGATAGAGAGAGAAACGTCTGATTGTCGGGCCGGTGGGGGATGCTCGCGGCTTATCCTTGTTGTCGTCGCTCGGGAAACTAAATCTCTGGGACCTCCTCAGTCTCAGCGCGCGGTTCATCCGAGTAGCATCGCCCGCTCCTCCCCCAAGCCCTAGACCCTCCTCTCTCCAGAGTCTCCAGCAGTGACCTCAGCAGCAGCAGCATGCGCGAGTGCATCTCCATCCACGTGGGACAGGCGGGCTGCCAGACGGGCAACGCCTGCTGGGAGCTGTACTGCCTGGAGCACGGCATCCAGCCCGACGGCCAGATGCCGTCCGACAAGACGGTGGGCGGCGGCGACGACTCGTTCAACACCTTCTTCAGCGAGACCGGCGCCGGCAAGCACGTCCCCCGCGCCGTGTTCATGGACCTGGAGCCCACCGTCGTAGGTAAGTGCAGCTCCAGGGTGGCCGGCGGCGACGGCCTCGTGCCGCAGCTTCTGGAGCCCGTTGACACCGTCCTGGACGCTATTCTGGACGCCGTCCTCGACGCCATCCCTGTTTGCAACCGCAGACGAGGTGCGCACGGGCACGTACCGCCAGCTGTTCCACCCGGAGCAGCTCATCACGGGCAAGGAGGACGCCGCCAACAACTACGCCCGCGGCCACTACACCGTCGGCAAGGAGATCGTCGACCTGGTGCTGGACCGCGTCCGCAAGCTGGCCGACATGTGCACCGGGCTGCAGGGCTTCCTGCTCTTCCACTCGTTCGGCGGCGGCACCGGCTCCGGCTTCACGTCCCTGCTCATGGAACGCCTGTCCGTGGACTACGGCAAGAAGTCCAAGCTCGAGTTCGCAGTGTACCCGGCGCCACAGATCTCCACCGCCGTCGTAAGTTGCCCGCCATCACCCCCCGAAAAAAGTGGATATTTCAAAAATACACGGGTAGTGTGAACCGAGTGTGAACGGCCTTGTCGATGAACGGTCAGGTGGAGCCGTACAACTCGATCCTGACGACGCACACCACGCTGGAGCACTCGGACTGCTGCTTCATGGTGGACAACGAGGCCATCTACGACGTGTGCCGCCGCAACCTGGACATCGAGCGGCCGACCTACACCAACCTTAACCGGCTCATCGGCCAGATCGTGTCGTCCATCACGGCCTCGCTGCGCTTCGACGGCGCCCTCAACGTCGACCTGACCGAGTTCCAGACCAACCTAGTGCCGTACCCGCGCATCCACTTCCCGCTCGTCACGTACGCGCCGGTGAGTCTCGGGGAGCTCCGGGGTCTCGGGAGTTCAAGCAACGCGTGGGCCGAACTTACTGTTCTCACGAGCACCGTCCCTTCCGCAGGTCATCTCGGCCGAGAAGGCGTACCACGAGCAGCTGACCGTGGCCGAGATCTCGAACGCGTGCTTCGAGCCGGCCAACCAGATGGTGAAGTGCGACCCGCGCCACGGCAAGTACATGGCCTGCTGCATGCTGTTCCGCGGTGACGTGGTGCCCAAGGACGTGAACAACGCCATCGCCGCCATCAAGGCCAAGAAGCACATCCAGTTCGTGGACTGGTGCCCGACGGGCTTCAAGGTGGGCATCAACTACCAGCCGCCGACCGTGGTGCCCGGCGGCGACCTGGCCAAGGTGCAGCGCGCCGTCTGCATGCTGTCCAACACGACGGCCATCGCCGAGGCGTGGGCGCGGCTCAACCACAAGTTCGACCTCATGTTCGCCAAGCGCGCCTTCGTGCACTGGTACGTCGGCGAGGGCATGGAAGAGGGCGAGTTCTCCGAGGCGCGCGAGGATCTGGCCGCCCTGGAGAAGGACTACGAGGAGGTCGGCATGGACTCGGTGGAAGGGGAGGGCGAGGAGGAGTGAGCTCCACGGCCTTGCACTGGCCTCGCCCGGTCACCGGAGCGATTGATGTTTTATCACCTGACGACAGAAGAGTGTCTCGTTTATTGTTCATTAGTGTTCATGGTTTCTGCAGTGTCTTTGCACCATTCTTGGTCTAAGATTGGTTTTTGTGTCTTGTGTCTTTGAAACAACTTTTCCTAGTAGTTAGGAAATATCATTATAGTTGCTTGTATCTTATCTTGTAAGTTAAGTTTAACTTATCAATGATTGAATAGGTCACATGTGGAGATGAATTATACACACCAGCTTTGTTTATAATTTTCTAGAAACTGATTATTTACATTAAATTGGTCCCCGAAGGAATGAACATAAATTACACAAAGGAAAATGATGCAAAATATACATAAGACTTTCCTGTCTTCACATTTCTCATCCCATCAGAAACCATTTTCATTTCTTTGGTCACAAACTGTACGCATTATAAGCAACAATATAGTAGCAAATCTAACTCAATAAACAAATTTTCATACAAAAAGGCAATGTACAGTATAGCTTTGCTATTGACTTAAAACTAGAGAGGTTTGAATGAGAAACAAAATTGACTCACAAATTTCTTAATTTGATAGAAGGAAAAAAATTGGCGGGATGAATTTTTAGTGGCTGGGCAAATTGCAGCAATTGAAAGTTTACTTTCGAGGATATGTTCTGATTTCAAAATACAAGTTCTAGTCAGACAAACTTCAGTCACATAATATGAGCAGACTTATGTGGTTGATCAAGTACAATAAAATGTAGGTTCTTCTCTCTAGGAGAGACAATTTAACAAAGTTGAGTAAACAAGTGAGTAAAAAGGTGATTTTTTGAAAACTGTTACAAATAAAACAAATTAAAGTCTTCACAGGAATAAATACTTAACTAAGTTTTCAGCACCTTTTCATTAATTTAGGAAAAATATTCCTAGTAAATCCTTACACCATATCAGGAACTTATTATATACAGCACTATTGATGATTTAAATAATTTCTACAAGACACTAGTTCTTCACTCATTTTTCCTTACAGCTAATGATCTAGTCTAAACAATGATACAAAAAACATACAAATTTTACAAAGAATACGACAACACACGTGAAAGACGACATAAATTTTGCCAGCAATAAATAAAATTTTACATTCAACCCAGTCAGATACAAACACAAGTGGTGGTCTACCACTCATGTCTCTGACACGGAACAATGATAATAAAAAACAACAACATAAAAAATGTTCATATAAACTTATTTAAATACCATTTAACTTATTCATGGAGTGGTAACTGATGGCACAGGCAGGCATGCTTTGCCTGCTTCGATCCGTGAATCGGTCGCCCGTCAGAGGTGGCCGTCCTGTCAGCGCAGTTAATAATGTCAGCTCAGGTCAGCGACAGCTAACTGACAGACGGCGCGGCCGGGTCGCGGCGGGCCGAGGCGGCGGCATGCAGAAGAGGGGCGTGGTCCGCCAGGGAGGTAACCTTTCAGCACCTCTCTGGCGTCTCTTCTGGCGCGGCCGGGCCGACCCGCTGCCCTTCTCCTCCTACATCGACACCGTGAATGCCAGGGGTGGCGGCGGCGGCGGCGGCGAGGGCGAGGTGCGTCCGAGACGCTCGGGCGAGGGCTGTCGGCTCCGCTCGGCCGGGAAGGACCAGGACGGGAAGGACAGCGCGCACTCGAGCAGGAGGGCCTCGTCGGCCCCCCGCGCGGACGCACCCGCCGCGCACTAGGCACCGTTGGTCAGCCCGTGCAGCTCCGGGTCCTTGGTCAGCTCGTCGATGGTGGCGATTGTGACCTGCGGCAGGCGAAGGGCAAGGCAATCCAATAAGCGGCCGGGGGATTATGGAACGCACGGGACGGGAACAGGAAGGGGAGAAGCCCCAGGGTGACCGCTACCGCTCTCCTGCCCATACCCTCCCCTCCCCTCGGCCGGTGCATGTTGAGCCGCCTCGCCTCACCTTCGCGTTTTAACCAGGGCGGCGGCGGCAGCGACACGGGTAATGGGGGTGATAGGGGAGCCGAGATTCGAACCCATGACACGCCTCGGACACGCCTGTCATCGAGCCGAGACACGCGCGGATGACGGACCCGTGTCAGGCTTCAATAGACGTCTGCGTCAGAGCTGCACCCGACAGTCGTGCCAGTGCGAGAGAGGGTGGAGGTGGGAATGGCCCTCCTCAACCCGTCGCTCTCATAGTTGAGATGAGAGGAATCAGGGAGACGTCTGTATCGCCACCAGAACAAGACCTGGCCGTCGTCGTCCTTCCCCCGCCCCGCCCCTCCCCTCCAGTTCGAGCATAGGCCGCGATACTCACCCTCTTCGGCGTCTTCTTGCACTCCCCTCGGTCGTCGATAACGCCCATGTTCTCGAATATCGCCTCCCGCTCCGGGCCCAGCTTGTCCTCCTGCTCAGACAGACAGACAGAAAGACGGGAATTAAATAAACGAAGGTCGAGTGGAGGGGGCTTTGCTTTGATAAGAATTTAATTAAAACGGATGACAGGCCAACGTCCTGACCCCGACTGCTCACTCTCTGGACTCGTCAGATATATTGCATTTTCATTATTTTGCACTTCTTTTATTCTTGCTGTATACCATATAAATATTTTCTTTTGAATAATGGATATAATGGATACTGTGCAGCGACAGGATAACTGATATAGTTATTGGCTCATTGTCATGGTGAGTGGATTGTGTAACAGGACGTCACGAAAAGTTCTCGCGATGAACAGGGAGGGGGAGATTGGGGTGCGTAGCAGGTGAAGGTGGGCGGTAAAGGGAGGGTGAGGGGAACGAGAGGGGACGGGGAGAGGAGAGGGAGAAAGGGGAAACGGGATTGAAAACGTGTTATACCTTCCGATACGCCTATCGGACACTCGTCATCCCCTGCAGCCCCCCGACCGACCGGCGCGGCGGCGCCGTCGGGGTGCAGCACTCCAACGCGAGGGGTTGGGGTGGGAAACAGAGTGCAGTGCGGGTGGGTTTGGAGCGGCGGCAGCGGCAGCAGAGCCGACACGGTCCGCGCGCGCCTCCCCAACCAGACCAGCCACCCCCTGATGCACAACTGCCCCTCTCATCACTGACAGCTTATTAATATCCCATCACAACAGCGCGCGGGCGGGCCGCGTCCGGGGCGCGCGCACGCTATACGCAAAGCTCCGGGCCCACGGTGGTGGCCGTGGCCGGGCCCCGCCGGACTACCCCAAGGAAGGGGCGGCCCTTCGCACAGACTGCTTCGCACGCGGCCGATATGCGCCGGCGAGATATGATTCCCGCGCCGCGCTCCGCTTTATTGGTTTAGGATCACGACGGCGTGACGGCGCCACGGCGGCACGGCGGCGGCGCTGGCGGTGGTGTTGTTGGAGGAGGAGCGGGATAACGAAGGGTGAGAGTGGGGAGGGGGCGTAACCAAATTATGGGCCGGGCTGGGCGGGAGGAGAGAGAGAAGTGCCAACGAGTGTTGTCCCGAAGAGAGCGCCATCCATCAGGCAGAGTGAGGAGAGCGCCTCGCGCCGCGTCCGCAAGAGCCGCGCGCTGCGGCGCCGGTCCTAAAAGGCACTCGAGGGACACGAAACACTCACATGTGTGTAGTAGTAGTCGGCGTGGCTCTTGGTGTACGCCACGACGCAGAGGAGGGCGGCGCCGACCAGGATGAGCACGGCGACGGCCGCGGCCGCGGCGATGACGCCGAGCTGCGAGTCGGCCGAGAGCAGGGAGCGCGGCGAGTCCGGGCCGACGCCCATGCCGCCCGAGCACCACGCCAGCGACGCCAGCGACAGGCCCTCGAGCGGCTCGCCGGCCAGCGAGCGCGGCGCGTCGCAGCGCAGGCGGCGCCAGGGCGACTCGGGGGCGCTGCGGGCCACGCGGCTCAGCAGCGGCGGCAGGTGGCAGCGGTCGCACGACCAGTGGTTGCCGTCCAGCAGCACCTGCGAACATGACAACATGAAGATTAGGACCTATTGAGACAACTTGGTTCAGTCGAAGACGCGACTGCTTCCACTCATTTTACTTGCTGTGTTTACCAAACTGCAGTTTTCTTTACACTTAACAGTGACCATTTTTCTAGGACATCCCGGAAGATTTACGAGCACAAACGACAAATGTCTTTTGTAATTTGACATGTCAGTTACGCTTATTGTGGACCCCTCTTGCGCAGCACGCACGCGGCCCCGCCCGCTGAGAGTGGAGCACCTGGTGAAGGTCGCAGGGTCCCCCAGATCGGCAGCCACAGAAGGCCATTGCAGGCCGTGCATGTGTATGGCTTGCGTATGTGATGAGCGTCGCACACGCACATGAAGGCCCATGGGGGCACACGCATTACCCTGGCAGACAGAGGGTTGGCCAGCGCCTGGCTGCTGGGCAGTCCCGTCACGCGTGAGTGTTGGGCGGGGTTGCCTACTCCAGCTCTGGCAGGGGCCCGGCCAGCGCCTGGCTGCTGGGCAGTCCCGTTACGCGCGTGTAGGGCGGGGTTGCCTACTCCAGCTCCAGCAGGGGCCCGGCCAGC